GTTGGGGGGTTGGAGGTAGGTCGTGTCGGGCGGAGAGCTGGAGAGTTGGAGTTTGTTCCATGAACTGGATGAACAATTAGTAAACGATTATGGGTTATTGATCTCCCCGAGAGACGAGATACTCACAAGTAATAAAATAACAGGCAAATCGACAGTAAAATTGCTAGGTATATGGATATCTGATTCCTCCGATTTGACAGTTGCATGTTGAGCCGGGAAAGCAGAAATATAGGAATGAACGGATAGGACGGGAAAGTACGAACTCCACGAAACGGGCGTAAAGGAAATCCGTGGCAACTCAACTTGGTTAAGAAGGGAAGTTTCCCCTGGGTATGTTTACGTTCAGAGGTTGAATTTAAGGTGAGATTACGTACCTCACATGGATATGCCCGATTACCTGATTTGAGGCTGACGGGTAGGATGTAGATCTTCTCCACATCTTTCCACTGTTAATACGAAATACGAAATACGAAATACGAGGACAGAGTTTATCTTGTTGGGAACTCCTTTGGAGAGATTTTCCTGGCGTTTGCAAAAGTTCTGTTGATGTCTTGGTGGAGGCGGTTTCTTTTCATGTGAAGAAATTTGAGTTACAGGCTCACGTGGTCCTTCTCCCTCCCTAATACCCTCAGTTTCCATAATGCCCCACGTTAGCCATCTAGAAAGCTAATAACAGTATCCATCAGTGGATTGGACCATTTGCTGAAATATACAGGAAAAAATCCTAGACAATTAATCTCAGGATTACCTTTTCAATGCCTGTTAACAACATAGTCGACGATTAATTAAGAGTTTGAGATACATTTTCGCGAACAAACACCATAACATACAGCGTTCGGCACATGGAATACGATTCTAAGGATTCCAAGATTCTATTCTAAGGTAGAATATTCTAAAGGCTCTTTAATTTAGAATAGAATATTCTAAAGGATAAGTGTAACGAATACTCAAACTGGCTAACTAAACTTGGCTGGGTGTTCGCTGGTTGGTATGCTATGATAAGAAGAAGACTATCGGGTTGTTCACTTGGAAGTGAACTCGTTACTTGTATCAAAGATGTCAAACTAATATGATAAGATTGATAACTAAGTTGAGCACGAAGCTCCTATCTAATGGCAGACGTGCCAGTCTTATATAGAACCTTCGTTCTCTGTCGATCATCGCAGAGCGACTCGATCGCCTGTCACTCAGAGCGACAGTCGATTCGACCGACACCAACAATGGTCGCTCGGTCACGTGACTACAATACAATGAAATCCATGGATCGCTTAGCTACCCTAAACGATCCCTATTTGCTATAAGAGATACGATAGTGCTTAACCTGTCAGGGCGCCGCCTGGTCTTCACTCGTCACATGCTCACA